TCTATCTATCTATCTATCTATCTATCAGTCTATCTATCTATCTATCTATCTATCTATCTATCTATCCATCTATCAGTCTATTTATCTATCCGTCGACATCTCTGATTGGCTATCATTTGATGAGGTTGCGTTTTCGGGTGCGTGAGCCTCAGGCCCGACATTGTGTTCTTGGGAAAGGCACTTTATACGAATTTTCCTCACTTCAGCGATTTTGTCCCTTTATTAGGTAGTGTTTTCGCTCCTGCAAAATAGCGGCTTGCACTGCATGATTCCTGGGAGGTTGAGATTGCTTCAGAATGCTATCAATATATCTTTTGGGGTAATAATATAGACTAGCTGGGCCCCCTTTTGATGAAAGGAATGATCGGTGCATTAACATCAACTGAAAGTAATGGCCTAATATATTTACACTCTACTGGAATGGAGCAATAAATCTTGAGAGATGCAAAAAGTTAAAAGGTCTAGAATCTAGATCTAGATCTATACTCTCAAAACAAAATGCGCCTCGCAAAATATTACTTCCGCACCGGATTTTCTAAAATTACAGAGAGGGAAGCGTCGGCCTACAAATGCGATCGGCGAAATAAAGAAATTTAGCTTTTTGCAGCAAAACTGTTTCAAAACTGAAAAAACGAAGGGCGTTATGATCTGGTGAGTATTTTTAAGAATCTTATGGCGAAACTTGCATGTCGATCTATGAAGCCATTAAAAAGCCTTTTGAATAGCAAAATTGGGCCACCACAAATAGATAATAGATTGTAAAGCGCATAGAGCTTCTGTTGAGCGGGAATTACCACTATACAAAATATGCTATTTGTGAAGTGTGCTGACAAAATAAATGAGTCACTTCCCTAATTCAAGCCTTATGGAAGTAGAAACATCATGCTTGTAGTGACGTTTTACAGTTTATAAGTATGAAATAATAAGAAGCATGTTCTACATAAAAGTAGAGCATCATTCGAAGATCTACTAATTTGACCTCGGTGTTGAGTTTTTGCCAATATCTCCATTTGTGAATTGCGAGAAGTAACTCATTTTGTCAGCACGTCTCACATTTATTAAAACCTCTTGTCATTATTCAATGTGTCCTGGTATTCACCAACACGTGCATAATGTCGTTCTTACGTTCATCTGCTCGTCAGCCTATACGTTGGTCAAACTATGACTTAGGTCAATACTCTACAGAATAAATACAAGACATAATGCTGTCCCCAGGGTTATATGCACCCCGTATAATGTAACAAAATTGGATAGTTTTTTGCATAATTTCTGATTTTTTCCTGTATCATTCTTTGTTAAAACTACCAGAATCGCATAATTTCCACATTTTATATCCCAGTTTGCTTAATTTCAGAATTATTGGGGGGGGGGGGTAAAACCGCGGGGACAAATAATGTCTAACACCGTGCCTAAACCCCGTTCTTTTTTATTAAAAACAACAACAACAACAACAACAACAACAACAACAACAACAACACAACAACAACAACAACAAACTGCACCACACCTCGACGACCACAACAAC